AGATAAAGCAGTTGTCCAACGCGCTGGATGACGAGAAGAAGATTCGTCTTAGTTTACAGGTGAGACTCATAAAGGATACGTTTACATATTATATTGTATTCATTATATGCACTAGCAAGTGATATACTATATGGTTGAGTATGTGGACATCCAAAGGAAGTCCATAAAGAATTGTTGTGGGTAGCAGTTAAATATGTTAAATAAATTAATTTGCAATATGTCTGTCTTTGTTTGACAGATGGAAGTAGACCACATAAAGAAGAGCCTGTCGAAATGAAGTCATCTTTATCGGCGCACTCTGATTACCACATCGGAGGCCAGAATTTTGAAAACATTGTCACTGTTGGCCGAGACACTTCGGCCAAAACAAAGTTTGTGCCAAATGATCATCACGATCAACATCAGCAACAATACAGTACCATGGAATCAGCCACCTTCCCTCCCCGACGCCGCCTTATCCTGTGTTTACTTCTTTATCCTTCTTTTAAAGAGGCTTCTCTGTTAAGTTTACTGCTATCTTGTCGAAGCTTGCTGTGCCACTGGTACTGACTGATCGCGGACTGACGCTGTGTGTTGCCATGGCTACAAAACAACAGAGCCGTGGCTGCCGTGGCGAACCTCACCGGTACTTTTTGTTTCTAAATGTGAAGGAAACTTGGAACTCGACCTTCGTAGCCCGGTAGGTTCAGACGACCTATGTGCAGTTCTGTGCCCACTCTGCGGCCTTCGCCTCTTATCTGTGTGTGTGAGAGCTGTTCTTATTTTCCATCCATGTGAGGACTGGAGTTTTAGACCTTCATATAAGGACATTTTTGTAAAGTGAGGTTGTTTTGGCCGGTCCTGACTTCTTCATCAGGCTAGATTAAGGTTAGAATAAAAGCCTATACTTTGAGGCACATTATTAGCATTAGGGTTACATTGTTTGACACACTGAGCTCGATGTTTCTATGGTACACTGCAGGCGGGTGATTTTGAAGCATCAGCCATTAACAGCACTGGCATTTGGACCTATATCCCTATCCCCTTTTTTTTCTTAATGTCATAACTTTTTCAATTTGCAGTCAAATATTCCACCTGTTGGGAGGTTAAAATTACAAGACAAGCACATCAGTTTAATGAAATCTTACCAACATGACAAGCGATAATGGAGGTGCTATTTAAAGGAATAGTTAGATATTTTCAAAATATGCTTATTCGCTTTCTTTTCAGGAGTTAGATGACAAAATCGATAACATTTGCATGTCGGTATATCAGATATAAAGCTACAGCCAGTGGCCAATTAGTTTAGCCTAGCATTAGGACTGGAAATCGGGGGAACCAGCTAATCTGGCTCTGTCCAAAGGTAACTAAATGCCTACCAGCACCTATAAACCTCACTAATTATATCTTATTTGTTTTATTCATAGAAAAATGTCAATATGTGGTTTAACAATGACAACAAGACTTTAGAAAGTCACTTTATAGGTGATTGTAGATCCAATTTTGGCTGTAGCATCATAGTTATCATTAGATTGGTATAAATCTTCTCATCTAACTCTCTGCAAGAAAGCCAAAAAGCATATTTCCCACAATGGAAAACTATTCCTTTGACAAAATCCAAAACTGCCCTGTGATATTTGGCTGCTAATGAAAAGTTTATGCAAATAAAATTACATGTCACTGCATGAACACACCTACCTATCATATTTATCAAGTCAAAGGTATTGCCTTCTGGACATAAATGTATTCTTTTAACCTTTTTTGCTTTTGCACTTTTGCGCCACAATTCAGAAACCTCAAGAAACAGCTGTGCTGGTCGCATCACACCCCACAAAAATCAAAATCAAGATCCATGTGCATCTGATGTTTCTGGTGCTCTTTTGGCAGCAGATGAAGGGTAAAATTAAGGACAGGGTTTGAGGAATGTAGTCAATAAAAGGACCTCATAGGTAAAGGAAGACAAAATGTGTGTGTGTGTGTGTGTGTGTGTGTGCATGTATGTGTGGTAGCATGTACGGCTATTTGCCTCCCTTCCTTATATGTGCACAGAATCTATGGCAACCCGTCACTGTGGCCTTCCTGTTTTTGACTCCAAATCTTTCTTTCTTTCTTTCTTTCCACTTATTTAGGTTTTTCTTTTTCTTGTTTCTTTTTTGTCTTTTTTTTTCTTTCCTTCCTTTCTTTTTGTTTTTCTTTGCTTTGTTTTCTTCCCGTCTTTCTTGTGTATGCCAATCGACCCGCCCAGCAAACTGTACATACTGGAGGCTAATCGAAAGTTGTTTTCTTGACTTGGTCCTTTCTCTCCAGGATAGTGATAAATATATATACTTTTATATTTCAGTGTAATAAAGATGCTATTATGTACTGTACGTGTGCATATTTTGTTTTTTAAAAATGTGTTTTAATTGTCTGTTGTTAAAGTTGTGTCTGTGTGTGAGAGCATATATATATATATATTAGTCCTGTATTAAGGAGCATTTGGTTCCATTCTGTTCTGCTCTTCACACTGTTTATTGAAAAACAGTTGGTGCCCAATGCTTGGAAAACTTTTATAGAGCAGCATCGTGTGTGTGACAGATAGAAACTGAATACAGTCTTATGTCACTGATTTCTGAGTGGACACAGTAGGAGAAGTGAAAGTAACAGATTCAGACTTAACCGCCACTGAAACCACTGTCTGCCACATGATGTGTAACAAGTCAGTCAACTTCACTTTTGCAGTAAAACAATAATGTTTAGATGTTTATCAATTTAATTTTATTTAAAAAAAGCCTTCAAATTCAACATTTTCACAACTGTATAAAATGCAAAGGTGTAGAAAACCATGA